ATAATAATAATAATAATAATAATAATAATAATAATATTTAATTTAATTTATTTGAATATTAATAAGTCACGTTATTCGTATTAATCATTCCTTTTAAGGAAAGATTAACTCAGGATTTCCTCATATAGGTATAAATCACATGGTGAACGGTTAGAACTCGGTTCTGGAACCGGTTCGCGGTTCTGTGTTCGGTTCGGTTCAGAACCGCTCAGAACCGATTCCCTAGTGGAACCGCCCCATCCCTAGGTAGGAATGTAACCATCTTTAAGCTAAAAAATAAAGAGTTGTTGGTAAAAGTCACTCGATCAACGTTATAAACAACAAATGTCAACAAACAATAATAATAGTGATAATACGATCAAGTATATTCCATACTCTTCAGAATTACAACTTCCAGGAATTATGAAGTTAATAGAAAATGATTTATCAGAACCATACTCAATCTACACTTATAGATACTTCATACATAATTGGCCTAATTTATGTTTTATGGTATGTGCTTACGAGTATAAATAAATATAAATGATTATTAAATATTTTATTACTTCCAAAGGCAATGGATGATGAAAAAGATCAATGTATTGGAGTGATAATTTGTAAATTAGATCGTCATAAAAACAATGCTTTACGAGGCTATATTGCAATGTTGGCAGTGAGTAGAGAATATCGAAAAAGAAAAATTGGTTTGTACTTTTATTTGAAAAATAATGATACTTATTCAAAATGCAAATTTATGTGTAAATTCTATTAATATATATATTATATACATACATATTATTTATACATTGAAATAGGAACCACCTTAGTTAGAGTTGCGATAAATGCGATGAAAAAACAAAACGCTGATGAGGTATGAAATATCAAACCATTTTTATGAATCGAAATCTAATAATAATCAATCAATGAATACTATTGACCAATTAATCAATAATAATTTATTTTGAAAGATTGTACTTGAGACAGAATATACAAATATTGGTTACAAAATGGAAGTAAATTGGAAAGCAGATATATCAAAACCTGAAATAGCAAAAATATCTGCAGAAATATCAACACTCGCATACATGGATGATACAACCTGGATCAC